TCAATCTGTAATAAAAGACGTGAGGAAATTCTGTCTTTTTTAAAGACAAAAATTTTTGAGGCGAAATACCCAAAAAGAAGTTTGTAAAAAAGTATTAAACTTGTCTTTATCTATGGTATTAAAGTGACTACAACAACACTTGGTTAGAATGAATATCGCTCGGTAAAGTACTTAACTCGGTTTACTTGTAGGACCCGTTATCAAAATAGTATAAATCAACTCTTGTTTTTCCACTCGAATCGCAGTGCGTCGTTTTCTCAATCGGTTTTCTGGGCGTTTGACTAACTGGTCTTAAATTGGTGGGTCGAAGCTCTACCCTTGTTTGCATTCTTTGGTTCTTACAGTTTTTCTTGCTTTTTGACACTATTACATCATCGGGATTGCTTATTCCACAATCTTGCACATTTTTAAACGGCGCATTTTTTACTAGCTCGAACACAGCACGCTATAAAAGCAAAAATATCCGATTACACCTATCTTTCTGTATGCAGAAGCGAAAATTTTAGAAACATCCACTTGTACCTATGTATAGAGTTATTGACTGAACTTTGGCCACCCCGTTTTAGAATCTAATTTGAAATTTAGAGTAAAATGTGAAATACAAAAGTTGTAGATATTAACGTCTGGTTTATTTTAAGATAACACGAATTGGTGTGTGTCAAATTCAAGTGACAGACCAAACTTACCTTTTTTCAAATGGAATGCCGCACCTTTTAGTACATATTCGAACTATTCGAACAATTCTAGGCCTATTCGATATAATTGTTCTATAATGATTTTCAACTGTTTTCGAGTTAATAGCCAATATTGATCGAACTTTGGCCACCTCGTTTTGGCATCTACGTTTGCATCCTCATTTGAAATTTAGAGCAAAACATTATATACAAAAGTTGTAGATATGAAATCTAGTTTATTTTAAGATAATAAAAATTGTTACAGGATGTCTCAAATTCAAGTGCTTGGCCAAACTAAAATTTTTACAAATTGAATGCCCGAATATTTAAATGGTTATAAACTCAAAAACAGTTCAAGATCAATATGGAAAATTTATATCCAAGAGGACTGGAATTTTGCGTATAGTTCGAATATGAAATAAAAAGTGCGATGGAAGATTATGATTCCATAAAAAAAAAGTTTGTTCCGCGACTTGAGTTTGAGAGACCCCTGATCAATTGGTATTATCTTAAAATAAACTAGACGTTAATATTTACAACTTTTGTATTTAACATTTTTCTCTAAATTCCAAATTATATTCAAAAACGGGGTGGTGAAAGTTTAATCAATATTGGTTATTGACTCAAAAACTGTTGACAATCATTATAGAACATGTATATCGAATAGGCCTAGAATTGTGCGAATACTTCGAAAATGCAATAAAAAGTACGGCATTCGATTTAAAAAAAAGGTGAGTCTAGTCTGCACTTGAATTGGAGACACCTTGTATCAATTGGTAGTATGTTAAAATAAACGAGACGTTAATATCTACAACTTTTTTATTTAACATTTTTCTCTAAATTTCAAATTAGATGCAAAAACGGGGTGGCCAAAGATCAATTAATAACCCTGTACATCTAACGCAATCTTTTCATATCTAAAGGGTGTTTCAAATGGTTTTTTACCCTGGGACGGCTATTATTATTGCCTCGTTGCTTCGTCACGTTCATTCTGTAGTATTCTGCACAATTAGCATCGTTTAGCTCCTTCGAAGATAAAATCATCGCTTTTAACCAGTTGATAACCACGTTTTTGGAGTCCTTATTCAATTCAAGTGATCTATCATCTAAAATAGTAACACATACCGCAAAGAGTACTAATTACACTGATTCGTCACTAACCATTAGGTTCTAGATTGCCACATTTCGGTGTGGCTAGTTCATGTTTGCAACTTGCATGAATCCCGTTATGATTTTTTCTCCCATGTAGTAGGCTGGCTACTTGGGGACAGAAGCATTCAGAATTAATGCAAATGTTGGCGGGGTTCGACGGTGGTGGGCAAATGTACTGAGTATTTGAGTATACACTTTCTACATATGGAAAGTTTGCTTGTGAATCGGTCAGTTCGTCCAATATAGCCGATGTTGAACTATTTAAGTCGACGGCTATGGAAAGATTGTCTTTATTTTTTGCTGACCAATCCGTGTTTTCTGACTAATCTTTGCAGATAAACTCCTTGTCCACTAGATCCTATTTTTGCATGTTACATCTTTACCAGTTAAATTTCTTTTAACCCGGTTGTAATTTTAAACATTACCGAAGAAAGTTTGGAGTTGGAAAAAACTGACTCCTCGTTGTCGGCCTCACTGCTTGTGTTGTAGTTAAAATTTGAACACAGTGGAGGGCCCATAATATCGATAATTGTCTGCACCTCTTGCTTCAATTTGCGACTTCCAGCCACTTTCTGTCTCTGAAATGGAAAAACGTCCAGAAATACGTTTATAATTCTTTATATTTTGTATCTACCGGACTTGGAGACCTCATTTTTCACGTTCCTCTTATTGAAAGTGGTGTAGGTGCCTTTGGAATCTGTCGTCTTGGCCGCCTGTGCACTGGGCATAATCCTTCCTAAAATAAAATATAAAAATTATAGAAAGGTTTGTCAAAAGTGGCGTTTGCCTTGAATGAGGGCACCAGCCACAATCTGAAACAGGTTTACTTCACAGGGTACACAGGCCGGTATGCAATAAATACACATTTTGATTTTGTAAAGAACATATTTATTCCAAAATGCTAAAAAGTGTCTTGTAATGAAACCATGTGCCACTAAAACATTTATTCCCCTGTTGGACGGTCTGTCATATGGGATTACATGGGCTGAAATGTGAACGAGCAACGGCGCACTTTGAACTTTTCAGTCTTCAAAGTGCGATTGCTCTTCAAACTGATTTTCGTATCGTCCAAGTAGTCGTTGGTTCTTTGGATCGAATGGACTGTTTAGGTACAATGTAGCTGGGTACTTTTTGTCCCTGATTTCAATATGGTATTCGCCGGTTTTCAGAAATTCGCTATCAACCGACTTTCCCTTTGGATGGCGAACATATCTGGGGAAAAAAGACTTACAATTTACGTCAGAAAACACCAGTATATTATTCACCCCAAACCGATCGAAGAATCTAAAGCGAACCCGTAGGCTCCTCTTCGCAGATAGCCAACAATTGCGTCGTCTCTCCAAATAGTTTCCAGCCCGTATAGGGCCACATTATCTTGAAGTGTAAAGAAGCATCTTTTCTTTTTTGCCCCTTCCTGCTTCACCTACATCAATTTCGGATTTTATTTTGCAACATAAAGACAGTTCTGTTATAGTCACCTTTTCTACGATGGATTTTCCCTGGTATTGGCCGTCCTTTCGACAAAATCGCTCCAGACCTGCTTCCACTGGATTATCATCAATTCGCAGATCAGTATTTAGTAGATGGTAACCTAGAAGTTTACGTATGTCTAATAATGTAAACAAATTTAAATTTCTGAGCTTTGGGAAAAAATTCATAATTGTGCCTCTGTTTTCATTCTGTAGGTCGTAGGCACTACTTAACAGTACGCCGAAATATCCATACAGGGTGTCCCGTAAGCATATGATCAGAAGGGTACTGCGATATTCTTTGCATCAAAAGAAGACGATCTGACCTAACTGTTATTAACAAAAAATGTCTGGCTCCTCTGCTGTTGATGGTCAAAGTTCTTCATCAAAATTATATTTCTTGAAATATCGGGTGAATGGTACGACGTATTTTAGTAAAACTCGTTGTGAATTTGTTCTTATGTAAGAGTCATATTTTGATGAAACAATCGAGTTCAGCCGTTTTGGACAAGTGGTGAATTCTCGAGTGCCGTGATACAAAAACTACCAGAACTTTTTATTTGGTGGATAAAATCAACTCATTTTTTTTGTTGATGCACTAATCATTTATTCACAATTTTCTGCTTTTTGCAGCAAATCTTGTAGCATTCATAGTTTTTGCGCAAAAAATATTTCTGTTTTCTTGCCACTTAACAATGTTAGACATTAATTGTCAATCTATCTCACAAATTCGCTTCGAATGACTTTTTCTAACGAAGAAGTGACCTACATGGTCAAAGTATTAAGGTTTTGCGAAGACACTTGCGTGAAAGTGTGCGCGTTTACGCAGCGCATATTTGCAGTTAATGTCTAACATTGTTAAGTGAGAAGAAAACAGACTTATTTTTTTATGTCTGTATTGTATATATCGGTATGTATATATTGTATTATAACTATGAATGCTACAAGATTTTACAAAGAGCTCAAAATAATGATGTGATGAGTGCGTAATGTGAATAAATGATTAGTGCATCAGCCAAAAAAAATGGGTTGATTTCATCTACCAAATAAAAGGTTTTGGTAGTTTTTGTACCACGAGACTCAAGAATTTACCACTTGTCCAAAACGGATAAACTCGGTTGTTTCATCAAAATATGAGTCTTACATAAAAACAAATTTACAGCGAGTTTTACCAAAATACATCGTACTATTCTCCCGATATTTTAAAAAAGATAATTTTATTGAAGAACTTTGACCATCAATCGCAAGGGAGCCAGACATTTTTGTTAATAAAAGTTAGGACAGATCGTCTTCTTTTGATCCAAAGGAGATTATGGGACATCCTATATAAAATGTTAGTTTATCGTATACCTTTTTCCATGCTCAGTGAGTCCATTGCCCTGAACCCTGCCAGAGTCAAATCGAACCCTCGGCCCGCGTTTACGATTTTATTGTAAACGGATACGCAGTGGGCGTATGGGATATGAATTTCAAAACCCATTTCTCCCACATAGCTGAGCCGCATTGCCCTGCAGCTCTTGCCGTTAATTTTTATAATGTGAGACATGCCTAGTGGAAACTTCTCATCGGTAATGGGAGATTCGGTGACCGATTGAAGTAGTTCTCGGCTAAAGGCAAGAGGGTTCACTAAACAGATATTTTTCCAAAAAAGATTTGGGAGGTGTCGCCTACCTTTTCGGGCCCTGAATTGACAGAATTCCCAGTCGGTCAGTGATTTCGGATATGCGCGACTTGAAGTTTTTCTTGAAGAGCTGCTTTCTCAAATGGCTTTTGGTTTGGTAGCCAGATGGTCCTCCAGCCACTATGTAGTATCCTTTACCCTAGACCAACACGTCATCATAGGAACAATTGCGTTTCTATATGCATTCATTTCTACCTTTAATATTGGGCCTACAAGAGTGCCTCCTCCCTCTTCCAAAGTGGTCACCGTAACATCTGACTCGATTCCACCTTTAGAATTTAGTGAAAGGGTGTATGAAACCCGGCCTGGATCTTGGCTCAAATGATTAGTGAATAACCAATCTGCGGCCTCTTCGGCATCCGGGCCTGTTAAGTACATTTTCGTATAGCACGATAGGTTAAACAGCCCCACGTTTGTCCTGGTCGCTAAAGCTTCGCTTTTGATCTAATGAAAGTGGTTGTGTAAGTGCCATTTTGAGCTGAACAAACTGAACAATTTACCAAATCAAAATTTTTGGAGAATCCGAACGTTAGGTCCTTTTCCAATTCCTTCATATATCGCTGATCAGTATGTCTCACGTGATCGTAGTTGCCATACCAGTCATACCCTCTAACTGGGGCTGTTCTGTCTTCTTGAATGAAATAAGCCGGTCTCTCCCAGCCGAGAGCCTCTTCCATTACTGCTCCACTGGCCACCAAATGCTGGAAAGATTGTTGGCTTTAAATACAAATATTAGCCACCCCAACAGCCCACCTCATGGAAAGGATCGATCCTCAGATTTCTGCCGGACAATCGTTGGTCGTGTGGGTACACGATGCTGTAAGTTTTGGCGTAACTTTCGTGACATGTCTCGGTCACCCACGCTCTATCTGGTTTCTGTCGTTGAGAAAATCGGCGGATATCAAAATCGTGCATATCCATGTCGGGGCGTCCTTGTGTGATCCAGTAAGACAATTGTTCTGATACTCCTCCACTGAACATCATCCCCATCGAATTGTATCCGAGGCTGTAGTACAAACCTGCATATTTCAAAATATGTATATCTTATGCTGTTTCGAGATCTTGCTTAATTTTTTTTCGCTTATTCTCTTCGTTGAATTGTAAAGATCGTTATATTACCAACAACAATTGGATCCTCTCCAACTAATGGTTTATGATCTGGAGTAAATGATTCCGGCCCGCACACGTCGGCTTTGATCCCCGCCTGTTCAAAAGAGGGACATAATTCGACAGCGCGTTTCCAGTGCACCTCAAAGATGCTCTTGTCCATTTCGAAGAGTTTAAAACTGAAATCCTCCGGGACCTAAAATTAATATTGAGCAAATTTTCAATGCGCCGGATAGCGGATGCTGTTGGATTGGACTGACTTGCTTTAGGATGTCTGGGTTGCCTTCATATCCGCCAAAGAGAATTGAGTCTCCTTGGGGTCTAAAATACAAAGAACTATCGTGGCATCTGATGGATGGCGAATCTCGAGCGCCCTCGATTGTGTTCGTTACTACGTAGCTGTGTTTCATTGGAGTTATTGGTATTTCAATGTCTACCATGTTAGACACATTTCTGCCCCATACTCCAGCCGCATTAACAACCGTGTTGGTTTTAATGCTACCTTTGTTTGTTTCAATCCCAATAATCTTTTTCAACCCTTGAGTGCTCTCTTCGAAGTGGATTTTCGTCAGGGTGGTATGCTCGAAGACCTGCTTTTACGAATGATATTTAGTCGACCTAACTCAAACTGAACAATGACTAGTACCTGCCCACCGTTTGCAATACCCCCTTTAATAAGAGCACTACAATAGGAAGTGGGGTCTGCGTGCCCATCAGTTGGAGAATAAACAGCCCCATAAAATGCGTTTGGATCCAAAATTGGACTTAATTTTGCGGCCTCCTTAGGAGTGATTAGCTGACTGTGCACGTTGAAGTAGTGGCCTAAGGTGTGGAGCCTTTTAAATTCTTCCATTCTATCCTACAATAAACAGTAAAACATTTTATAGCGAGGTTTATTTTCATACTTTATCAATCGAGTGCAGTCAGTCAATATCATGTAGCATCGGTGAATAGGTACAGGGTTATTGATTGAACTTTGGCCACCCCGTTTTAACATTGAATTTCAAAATTAGAAAAAATGTTAAATACAAACGTTGTAGATATTAACGTCTAGTTTATTTTAAGATAGTAACAACTTTTACAGGGTGTCTCAAATTCAAGTGACAGACCAAACTTCCTTTTTTTACATGGAATGCCGTATTTTTTATTGCATATTCGAACTATTCGCACAATTATAGGCCTATTTGATAAAAACGTTCTATATTGATTTTCAACTGGTTTTGAGTTAATAACCAATATTGATTGAATTTTGGCCACCCCGTTTTAACATTTAATTTAAAATTTAGAGAAAAATTTTAAATCCGAAAGTTTTAGATATCAACGTCTAGCTGATTGTAAGAGAATACCAATTGATACAGGGTGTCTGAAACTCGTGGCGGTACAAACTTATGTTTTTTGAAATGGAATTATTCACTTTTTATTGCATATTCGAACCATACGCAAAATTACAGTTCTCTTTGATATACATTTTCTATATTGATTTCAACTGTTTTTCAGTTAATAACGATTTGAATATTCGGGCATTCCATTAATAAAAACTTGAGTTTGGTCAGGCATTTGAATTTGAGACACCCTGTGGCAATTATTATTTGTGGCAGTTATTATCTTAAAATAAACTAGATGTCAATATTTACAACTTTTGTATCTAATATTTTGCTCTAAATTTCAAATTAGCTTCCATTTAAAAAAAGGTTAGTTTGGTCTGTCAATTAAATTTGAGACACCTTGTATCAATTGATGTAATCTTAAAATAAACGTTAATATCTACAACTTTTGTATTCAACATTTTCCTCTAGTTTTCAAATTAATTGTTAAAACGGGGTGGCTAAAGTTCAATCAATAACCATGTACATACTAAAGTTCTGGCAATAAATATTCCACCATTGTTGATAAAACCTGGATCAACACCAGTTTCTTGTTCCAAATTTTTCAAAATTTCTTTGGTTCTGTAAAGTAGTTGGATGTCTGTGTCGTTGGGCCTAGAAGAGAGTGATGTTATTGTTCCGCATGTTTAAGCATCTATCAGTCCTTTACTTACCTCAAGCTCCACACCAATCCTCCTGTATGCCATGTAGTGCCATTTGTTAACTTATTATGCTCAATCAGAACGGGCTTAACACCTCGTTTGGTCAACTGGTAAAACGCACTACATCCTGCAATGCCTCCACCTAAATGCATTTAAAGGATGCGAGTGTAACTATTGTGTCAACATGATTACCTTAGCAAACAGTTTAATTAAAATACATAAAAATTCACGTTGTCTGTTCAATCTCATAGAAGCCGACTTTGAACTTTTGGATTATGTTTGCGTTTGCAAAACCTAATTTACAACATATTCCGATCAAAGTTTGTTATTTCCCTGAGTCAACAATGAGTGTTTAAAATACAGATATGCATCATAGACTGTGGGGCAATCTAATAATGACAATCAGCTAAGGCCTAAGCGATTCTGGGTCCTTAAAGGTCATAAAAACGCCTTAGTAACATACAACTCACCAACAATCACCACATCCGCTTGCCTGGGCAAACCAACTTCCCCGCTATGGGACTTTCTAAAATTTCCACCAGAAAACAGTAATGAAACGTCCGATTTGCTTCTAAACGATTTGCCCACTTTAAACATGTTTAAAGTTCGAATAATCGCGTTTGCAAACCGTTTTGAGAATGTATTCGATTCATAACAAATATGTCTTAATTAGATTAACTTTGATCAGTGTACCCAGCTTGAGACTATCATGCATATTGCGCCTGGATTGACCCCACTATCAGTGGTGGCGCAATCAAGGGCAATTAGCATTCAAATACAATATTAAACGTAACGACTATTCGTTGAGATACAAGCCAAGAGCAGGTCAGGGTTCAATTATTGTACCTAAACATATCTTTTGAATATCGTTACTTTAAATCCCGATTTTTTTTAGTTTGTCACTGAACGGCTCCATATTTGAATATGGATTTATACAATTTCTGTATAACCTGTAGATAAAGAAAGTTTGCTTTAACTGTGCCGATTTGATGCGAGGAATAAAAATGTCTTTTCTGTTGGACTGGAAAAAATCTATGAACATTGAAATATCGGTGAACACACCGGAATTAATAATATAAGTATAAAATAGTAAGCCAAGCAATTATTTGCGTCTACGTTCTTTTGGTGGGGTATTTAGGTTTAGTGACCCCAACATAGCCAAGAATTTCAATGGGTCGGGCTCCCTCTAATTCACCCTGTACTCGAGTAGCTTTGACATCGGTTTGGTAACCTCTAGCACTGGCAAGAGCCGCTTCTTCTACGAGGTCGGGAGGTGCTGCAACAGCCGCAGCTTCTGCTGCTTGTATTGCGCCAGCAAATTCACACATTTGCTCAGCTTTTGCCAATTTATCGACTGCATCGGTCAGTTCTGAGGGAATCGATAATATAATTAGTACCTGGTCTGTGTATTATGCCCACATCAAACCGTTATCAGGTTCCTTCCTTAGGTCGAAGAGCATCTCCACTTGGCTGGCCGTCGCTCCCGACATTCTCTGTAAAGTGCCCTTAGACAAATTCAATTGGGGTTCGTCAACGGCAATTAAAGGCGGCGGAAATTGTGGTCCCGCATTAAAACTGGCTGTCTTCTGGTTTTTCAACTCTTTCTCCACAGAACGGTCAAACCTGAAAACAACCCATCATAAGGGCCAATAGATTTTAATTGTCTATTTGCTAAAGCTCTACCACTCCATAAGGGATTCTCTTCGTTCGTGTTCATTGCGTTTTGCATTGGCGCTGGCTTCGTTTTGAGCAGCTTGCTCTGTCTCGAGAAGCGGCTTTGCGTTCATATACGAGGCCTCTGCAGGAGGTGGATGAATCGTCGAAGGGGTTTGCGATATGTTTTGATCTGCACCCCGAATCCGGGAAGTCAGCCTACCGTTGGACTAGAAAAATTATGTAAAGTTTTCCGATTCGTTCATAGAGTTTCCCAGGTTTGTTGAACACCTACCTGACCCAGCAATTCGAGCAAGTTTATGTCCTTTGACATCGAGTTTAAGTTATAGTCCATTTGAGAACCAAATGCATCATACTGGTTGGAATAGCCGTACGGTCCTGGAGTGGAAGCTCTAGCAGAAGGGGGAATCCGCGTATTCCCGTAACCCGAATACTAAAGGTATCAATCAGTATACACACATCATATTTTGAACATTGCACATCTTGCACTCCTCCCCCTCTGTATTTACTACATACGTTTAATTTATACAAAATTGTTTTATTGGTAAAAAAAAACCACTTGTTTACAAGTAAAAGAAATGATTGAATTAAAAAAAAATGTTTGCCCCTTCGAAACTGTGTTGCTGTAAAATTGCTTATATTGGTTACTATTAATCGGCATTAGAATCGTGCAAGAATCGTCGTGTAGCATGTCTAGAAACGAGTTGTCAGCTTTTGATAGGATTAGAATTATTGCTCTGTTGCAAGAAGGTTTATCTAAGCACAATATTTCCATTAGGCTGAACTTTATTAGAAGCACAGTTAGCAGGACAATTAAACGCTATGAAGAGACCAGTGAGATGAAGTGGTCGTCCCACTTCGAGGTCTGCTGTTACTCACGTTACCACGATACGAGAAGATCGCTATATATTCCCAATCAGCCCGTAGAGAGCGCTCAGTCACCCTACCGGCACTAAGATCTCAGTTCCAGAGAACGTAGAACCGTATGATATCCAGTGCTACTATCCGCGGGATTTCGATTGGTGAGCGATGATTACCGAGTAAGAGTTTGGAGAGAAGCAGGACGCCGAAATAGGCTTCAAACAGCCGTTGCAGTTGCTCCATATCGCGGTGGAACACAAATGTTTTGGGGGGGTATTATGTTCAATAGAAGGACCCCACTTAATTACATATCGGGGTCGATGACAGGTGCATATTACCTTGCAAATGTGGCCATTCATAGAATTATAACCCCACATGATGAATTAGGGGACCAGTTCATCTTTATGGATGACAATGCCAGGGCACATCGCACCAGAGCTGTTCAAGAAGTATCAGAAACCCGAAACACCACAAAATTAGATTTATCGAACACGTCTGGGATTATTTATGAAGAGCCATTTTCCAGCGGAATAATCCACCAAGAAATGCTCAAGAAATTATTATTGCTGCTACAGAGGAATGGCGAAATATCCCTCAGAAAGTAATCAATGATTTGATTAGAATGGATAGACGTGTGAATGCATTGTTAAGAAGTAGAGGCTCAAATACTTAATATTAACTATGTCGTTGAATTTTTGAAGTGATAATTTTTTATGGGAGGGTGAACAGATTTTTCTCGGTCACGGCGGCTCCCACTCCGGCCTCTTCGCGGCTGAGGTTTGAGACGCACATATGCACTTTAAATTCGACATTTTTCTCTTAGTGTGGGTGCAACTGTAGATCTGATAAACTGCTCAAATACACATTGCGTTATTAAACTGACAGTAATTTTGATATATCAATTATTGAGTGTGATATTATTCTGTTCGGTGCAGTTTATTTTATAACGCTGATAACAATGAATCAACAAATTAACAAGGGAGAAGCTGTAGATACTGCAAATACTAGGTAAGGGTGCTCATGCACTATATGCCTGTTCGAGATTAGCCTTCGTTTTCGTCCATAAATTTGCAGAAAACTGTATTACAAACTTTTGAAAATCATGTTCAAACGACCGGATATTTATCATTGTAAATGGGATTGCCCTTTGCTACTGCTTACTGTTAAATATTGTTTTAACAACTAACAATCGATGATTCGGCACAAAACTGTGCCTAAGATCCACGACAATAAAGTTTTTGGAAAACTGTTGGACCTATTTTAAATCGCCTGATTGATTGCGGACGTAAATTCGTATCAAGAAAAGATTAAATTAAATTTTAATAATAAATCGTATCGATAGAATCCCGGTACCGATTCCCTCTGTCGTACTCTCCGTCTGTAGTCCAGATTATGTCCATTTGCATTGTATTGCACGATTCAAAGATCTCGTATAATATTACTAGCTACTTGTTTAGTGATTTTCGTCGGAGACAATTGTTAATGCAGATGTTGAGCGGATATTCTCTAAAGAAGCCAGGGTCAATTGATGAAAAACGCTCAAGATTAAGTTCAAATAAAGTGTCACAACTATTATTAATAATTTTTAATGCAATAATATGTTCTATTATTTGTTATTTTATTTTGTAACAACAAATAATCAATATTTAGATATATATTTTGAAATCTTTCATATTTAACATAAAATGATAAACATCATTACTGTTTTGTAATAATATATAATAAACATGTTTTGAATTTAATTGAAAAAATATTTCAGTGTACCTCAATTATTTCAGAAAACATGGGTTCCGTCTTCTTATTTTCTATCACGCAGCGCATTCTTGATTTTAAGACGATACGAATCTCCCTTCAGCTTATAGTTGCAAAATATGTCAAACTAATTTATTAGGGCTTATTTTCAATTCTCTATATTATTTCTATGATTAATTGTGTTTCCCACGCATCAAAATGGATTTTTTCCCTTCATATACCCTTTGATTCCTTTATGATTAAATCTTCTCAATTTAGTTTAATTTTTTTAGCCTTGGATTAGTTCAGTTAGAATATTTTTTTGAACATACGCGCGATGGCTTACATTATGTATATGTACATATAGTGTGTCAAGTGTATCCTGTCTCTATGGCTCTTCCTCGTTTTAGCGTTTATTTTAAACAGATAGAACGTCTTCCAATCACCAAAATTAATTGATTTTTTAGTCCTATTGAGATACAAGTTGTAGCAGACGTTCATGAACAACATACACAAGAGCAGTCACAAAAACATGCTTCAATGCGAAAAGTATTAAGTAATGTTGAACGCCAAAACCGATTACGTGCTAAAAAAGGAGCATTAAGTAATAGATCAACTCAAAGTAGCTTTCATCAACCACGAACTAGTGCTGAACGTCAAAGATTATACAAAGCAAATAAGAAATTACGACTAAAAAATACAGAAACTGAAGAAGAAGAGTTTACACAAACCCAAGAAGAGCAATATGTACAACATCTGATTAAAGAATGTTAAATGTTGTAAATAAGAAATATATTTTACATTCAAAAGGAAATTAAATTAAATTTTACCTATTCCTGATCCATTTATAAATTATTAGACTAAAAAGAATATTAAAATTATAAAATAAAATCATTATTGCCATCATGCGTTAAACAAGTTCAATATTTTATGGTTTCTATAAATATATGAAGTTATCACTTCTGTTGAGCGTCCCCTGAAGCACACCATTTTTTTTATTTTAAAATTTTTGCATCCGGACTGTAATTTTCTTTTTATAACTGATAATTTGTTGAAATTAAATCCATTTTGCCGTCTTTTCGAAGCTTTTAATCTAAATTTAACACCGGCGTCTGCAAGGTTTTCCAAAATTTTTAAATGTCCAAATAACTAGGAGGTGCAAGACTTTTGAAAGCTAGTGTATATTATTAGATATAACTTACCTCGGCGTAACTACCCCCAACCGGCTCAGGTCGCGTCGGGCTTCCTTCTATTGAAACGTGAACTGTTCTGTGAGAGGGACCAGGGAGGTTCAAATCTCTTGAAGGTGACTAAATTAGGACAACATCATAAAGAGAAAACAAATAAAACAAAAATAAATAAGAGAAAAACGTTACCATCTCTTCTGGGTCACCGCACCGTCCTCTGCAACTCATTGTGGTTCGGTTTTTTCTCAAGCAAACTGAAATTTTGTAAATATTTCGCTGTAAAATGGATCACTTTGGTGGTATTTTACGCCCAGTCAGCAATTACCTGACATTGGCAGTTTAAAAAAACCAGCAGATGGTGACAGGCTTGTTTTATAAAAAAGTGCAATTTTTTCGAAAATTATCTAAAACCGTAATAAAACTATAGTTAGACAACTGATCATTATGTGGTTAAGATTTGTATTTATATGAAACAATATGGTATACAAAGCTGTTTCCAAAAGACAAAGGTTGTAAAGGGCACTTTAAAACGCATTAAGCTAATCCAGCTGGCACAGCAATGCCATGCTTCTTTTGATCCAATGGGACGCAGGCTCCAAAGTATTAAGCAGGATCGGTAAGACGTAGTTCGTTGAATGACCAGTGGTTGAGAGCACTCCTCTCCTCACTGATGTGTTGTAAACGGGTGAATTGTACCGAGACCCTAAAGCAAAGAGTAGTTACAAAATAATATAATTTCGGATATTACTGTAGAAACGGCACCCATTCTGGAGCTCAAATGTGTAACAATTTATTGTTATGCACGAATGGTGTGAGATCTGATTACTTTTGAATACTCGTACCGACTAGTTTTGGATTCAATATTCGTTACTTCGGATCAGTTATTCAAGTACTTATTCTAGTCGTAAGTATTACGAAAGTCGAAGACCGATATTTGAATTTTATTAGTGCTCTTCATATTTGTTTTACAGACACTTTAGTCATACAAACCATATCCAACCCTTGAATTTATGTATAAGAGTAAATAATCAGACCATTTTTAAGTCAGTTGTTAATTGATTACCTATTGTACTCTCTATTGTTATTGTAGATATTGTCCCCAGACATTTTGAACTCCCACAGTTTTTAATATTTTACTGCTGTTTCTAATCGAATTGTCTTTGAAAGCAAGTCATTTAACTCTGTGAAGCAATAAACCACACATGCATAAATAAATTTTTGTACAGTAGTAATACAGTGCGACAATTATCAATTTTAATAAACGTCTTTTTGCAAATATGCAGTTTTTAAATAAGTTACAATTTTCATGTTACATTTTATATTATAAAAGTAAACGTAAAAATATAATTGAAGTTTACCATGCGGCAACATGCAACGCTGTTCAGTTATTAGAATCGACCAACGTTGAAAATCAAACTGTCAATCAATCTGAATTTTAAAAAATCTGAAATTTGAATATTCGAATAATCTAGTTTTCGAATATTCGAGTATTTTAATAATCGAGTATTCGAATACCAGTACCGAATACCATAAAATCGCCAGTAATGTTGTGATACCCTATTGGTTTCTTCGACGGTTCTCAACGGTTAAACACGGTTTTCATGGTTAATATGTCTCAGAAGCCAAGAAGAAAAATCGTTATTCATATCATTCCTGACAATTAGCTACAATGGATAGCGGTTATATTTTTTCCCTTTGAGAGTGATTTTTAATACGATTTCAGGAACTTAAAAAAGTGCCGACCTTTTGTTGGCGTTGGCACATTAATTGTAGCACCACGCAAAAGTTGATGACGCGAGTCAACAGAACACAGAGACGTAATTTTATCTTCAGTTGCAGGAGGGAAAATTATTATTTTCATTTGCTTGTAAATATATGGGAATTTGTTTAAATGCTTGTAGAATATGAATCATTTATTTTATAAAAGTATACAAGGTGCGTATAAAGATATTTACACCTTGTGAGTTTGATAATGTTGGCGTATTCGAGTATTCGAACCTTCGGTGTGCGATGGGTGGATTGAGTAGCTCATCAAACATCGCTGCCGGTCCCAAGCCCGGAAAAAGGAGGACGGTTGTCAGACGAGGTTAGTTGTTAGTTGTTAGTGGTTAGTAATATGGAACACAAGCTAACCAAAAAAACAAGAATAGAGTCACAATACATTAAGGACAGAATAGAGTCACAATACAGCCTGCTGGAACATTATGTCCTGGAGCACGAAAAACAACGAAATATTATTAGAAATGGAGCATCACAAAATAGACACATGTGCCCTATCTGAAACAAAGCGTAAAGGTAAAGGAACCATTAAATTACCAAAGTACATCCTAAAATACAGCGGAGTTGCTAAGCACAAAAGAGCAGTAGGGGGAGTAGCTATATTGATATCAGAAAAATATGAAAAATTAATCCAGGATATTCAATACATAAGCAAAAGAATACTAATAGCATCATTGGAAACAGAAAGGGAACTTCACATAATTAGTGTATATGCACCAGATATTAACAAAAGCAAAGAAAAAAGGACTTATTCTATGAAACACTAGAGGAAGAAGTAAAGAAGATACCAGTAACAGAGAAACTCCTTATAATGGGCGATCGAAAGGGCCAGAATTGGGAACAACATAATACCCGGATTAAAACATCGATTTAAAGAAAACCGTCTTAACGAAAATGGTGAAGCATTAATAGACTTCTGCACCCGCCACAATATGAGAATAAACAACAGCTTCTTCAGATCTAAACAGCAACACAAAATCACCTGGCAAAATTCTCGGGGACAGAGCTCGACAATAGACTATATCATATCAAATAGAGCCATACACTCAACTTAAGTATTAGGCACCACAAGTCTAACTTCCGCCAACATGGGTTCTGACCATTTCTTGTACTGTGTACTGTGTAAGCTCCGAATAAGAATACAATGAAAATAAACTCCTCCAAGCATCGACAAGAAAAAATTTAACATAGAATCTATCAGAGACCCGGCCACTAAAGAACTCTACAAAACACGCCTATCTCAAAAAATGTAAATTAACTACATCACAGAGCAAGATGACGTAGAAAAGTGTTGATAAAGTAAAGACAAATATCACATATGCAGCCACTGAAGCTATAGGCAAAGGAAAAATCTCTACAAATAAAACCTTCCGAAACAAACAATGGTATACCACAGAAGTAAAAACACTAGCAAAAGAAAATCGTATTGCCTATTAAAGCTAAGAAGCAAACTTGACTTTACAGAATACGCGCAAACACAACAAATAGACGAAGCAAAGTGAAAAGACTACTTTAAAAGATTATATGCCAGCGATGAACAAGAAAGTCTCGAAGAAGAAAACGCGGAAAATCCGGAAACAGTGGAAATATCAGTAGGTCACTACAAAAATTGCGAGTAAGATTAAAAATAGAAAAGCGCCTGGTTTAGATGACATACCAAACGAACTACTAAAAGGGGACGGACCACTACTAATGGGGAAACTTACAAAACCCTTCAATATAATTTTAACAACTAGAACAATCCTAAACAAATGGAAGAAAAGTATCACTATTCCGATATTCAATAAAGGTGATAAGAAATGTCCTGAAAACTACAGAAGCATAACACTACTAGCCTCAACTATGAAACTGTTCACAAAAATTTTGGAATCAATCATCACCGAACGTTTAGTTATGTTAGAAGAACAACAAGGGTTCAGAATAAATAGATCGACGCTGGACGCTATCTTCATAATCAGGCAAATTGTGGAAAAAGCCATTGACCGAAAAGCCGAAAAACCCGCATTTATGTGCTTTATCGATCTCACCAAGGCCTTTGATCGAGTAAAACTTTTCGATGTTATCAACATTTTAAGGAGAAAACACATACCTGAAGCTATTATAGGAACTATCAAACAGTTAAACGTCAACACTTCGACTCACATCTTAATGATCCAAAAACTGACAGAGGGAATTCTAACGACATCGGGAATCAGACAGGGAGATTCTCTAAGCCCCCATTAGTCACGTTAAGAACTCGGGTAGAGGGTACAGACTTACAACTGGCGAAATGAAAATCATTTGCAATGCCGACGACGCTGTGATCATAGCTGAAAGTGAGGATGACCTTCAAAGACTCTTGCACGCATTCTATGTCAAAGCTATGGCCTACAACATGCAAATATCCACTATCAAAACAAAAACACGCGTAGTCGCTAAAGAGCCCGTCAGATGTAAACTCGCACCCGATAATAATTTCGTAGAGCAGGTAATGGAGTTTAACTACCTGCGAGTGCAAATAACCTGCAGTCAAAACAGAGACAATGAAGTAAGGTCCAAGCAAACAAGGCTTGCAGGATAGCAGGTGGTCTACAAGGCGTAGAATGGAACAACAAACACATGGGGAAACAGGCTAAAACTAAGATCTGTAAGACGACCCGTACTGACATAGGCTACAGAAACCGGAGCAGACACGGGATAGGGATTCGGTACTGGTACTGATTACCAGTTATTCTGAGCGAGTACGAGTAGTAGAGTATTGGGCTTTGGAGTCGAAGGTTAAGATGGGTGACTTGATTTTCCGAGAACGATTACTAATTATTGCGATTGCTAATTATTTGAATACTCGTTTGGTAGCTTGGTCCGGTATTCGTTACTTCGGATACTGACGAGTAGAGAGTACTCGAATACCGATTAGTTACTTTTTTCCCACCACTATTATGCACAAATCACCTGGGTTACAGTTCTCGATTTTGATAGGCGTGATCCAGATCAAAGGCATTGTGTCATGCAAAACTTTTGCATACAGTTCAGCAATGATTCCTTTGTTTCTATCATAACGGGCGCCATCGGTATATAGACCATAAATATAAGCTCCTAAAATATTACATACACTAGGAAATGAAAATCCTTGGCTCAGCATCAATAACGATGCTTAACGATTGGAGGAGTCTCTGAGTTCTCGGTCTGCAATATCTCAAAATCGAATGTTAATTTGTCGATGGGAATAGTATATTTTCTAGCATAGTTTTGTTTGACACCAGTTAGGAATGCTTGAGTAAAAAATAAGTCCGAAACCCAGTAGCTAGGCGGTTTTCCTCCACTGAGCCATTTGTGCAAGAAGTGCATTTGATTGAGAAAGTCTGACACGTAACTAGGCAGATTTTTCAAACTTGGATACGACACTGCAGCCCAGTTGGTTGGCAGTCGTCCCAGCATCAAAGCAGTAGAAAAAGCTTCTAGTTCCGGAGGCACTGCCACCAGACCTGAAAGCAGCATACCCCGCAACCTCGTACGATGTTTTAAGTACCTTAAATTGACCTAGTATGGCTTTCAGCATGA